CAGATTCCTATTATCTTTGTCCAAGTAATTCCACATGTAATAAAGAAACCTTAAATTGCTTATGAAGAAAAGGTGAAACTTTTTGTACTATCTCTAATGGAAAAAAAAAATTCATAATAGCATTCTTTTAAATGCATTAAGAAAATTGTATAGCTCCAGTTAACCTTATAGATATGTAATAGACATGATTTAGGTGCATCTGATGAGACTAAAGAGAAAAAGCCAAAAAAGAGGGTGCAGCCTGGATAAGTCAATAGGCACTGTGTTGGGAATACCGTGAAAGGTCCTCGACCATCTCTTCTCTCAGTGCCTGATGTCCATCTCTTTCAGGACTGCTGATCTAGCTCACCATGGGGGCAGCTGACCAGCCTGGACCATGGAACTAGTCTAAAATGATCCTTTTAACACTCCATTCTTTCTTTGGCTTTTCTTTTGAGGACCATGAGGGGGAATGATGGACTGCTCAGGGTGGCACAGCAAAGAAAATTGTAAAATGAAGCTCTCAGGTAACCTGTGTCTCTAACAGGAATAATCTGTCTTGCAGATTATTTTAATTTATCTTAAGTTGCTACAGAAATGTGGGGTCTTTCGAACAGCACAAGTTATCTCAGTCTATAGCTAAACACAGTTCATATATCAGGTTAAGACAAGGCTCTTACCTGTTTTTGGGGTTTTTTTCTTAACAGTTGAAATGAGAGTTTTCCATTCTATTTAATCTAGAAAAATGAAGGTGTTTACATAACTTTAATTTTTCCCATTCTGTACACTGAGAGAGCACTGAAAATAAACTGTATCCAGGCTTTTGTACATGATACACCAAAGTAAAATGAACAGCCAGTGCTGCAACTCTGTATCCACCAGCTGGCTGTGCCCACTCCCAAGGCAGTGACCTTGAGCTGAGGATGCACTGAACACCTCGGGCTGTGCTGGTGCTGACTGTGTGAGCTGTGTCACTGTGAACAGGAGGGCCAGTGATTCGGTACTGAGGTATGGAAACACCATTATTCCTCTGTTTGTCTGCTCTGTGATGCAGCCTCAGTCTGGCAGCTGGAAGTAAGGGTGGTTTCCTAACTATTTTCAGGCTGTCCACTGAAAGGACAGGCTGGGACCATGGGCTTCCCTGGGCTGCTCTCTCCCCTTCTGCACCTTCAGGAGCTGCCTCCTCTTCCACAGGCCATGCCTTCAGCTGATGGAAGCTACGGTCTGTTTCTGTCCAAATCCACTCCTTGTGCGATGAGGGGACATTGTAAACTTCCTAGTGAGGGGAATCCCCCTAATGTCCAAGTGCAGACTTAAAATGAGGAAAAGAGCTTGGAAGCTCTTTGTTTTATTTAATTTGTAATGGCTGTGACAAACCAACTGTTTGAATTAACTGTTCTCTGGCCTCGAAAATTTAACCTGTTTAATTTACCCGAGCAGTGAAACAGGAGAAAAAAAGTAACACCTCAGGGTCTCTGCTAAGGTCATGTTATTGTGCCTCTGGAAATACCCAGCTGGACAGAGTTGGTATTTCCCAAGGAGCTTCTGCTGACTTGTTTTCAGCTCCCACAGATGTTCAACAGAGGAAATTTCCCCATTTTCCTTTCAATGCTTGAATGTGCCGCTGTGTTAAAAAGAAAAATAAATTACTGTTAACACATGTAATGTATGCCTGTTATATGTGTTTCAGAAATTGGCTTCTCAGTTGCCGTTTTGACGCAAAGTTGTAGTCACTGGAGAAATTAAGTGTCCTAGAAGTAGACAAAAACTTAACTTGATAGTCCCAGATTTGCTTAGAGGAGAGAGGAAAGACAGGATATAATCGTTTGAAATACCAGGGAAGATCGTCCTCCTTCTAACCGACACATATTCCTGCAGCTGAGAATGAAGTGAAATTTTAACTTGGGGAACGCACGCATAAATATCCAGGACATAAAACAAATAATAAATCATCCCCTTCGTTGCAGGAAGATGATAACAAGCATTTCTTTTCCAAAGAAGCATGCCACAGCAGGATCAATTTGTTTGTGAAGTGTATGGATAGATTCTTATGGTGTGAACTTTGTATAAACGGGGGAAATGGCTTCATGTTACATCATATTGATGTTTTTGAAGCATCTCTCTCATCGGATGATTTGAAAGCATCTCTTTCAACGCTTCCTGCCTCCGAGACGAGCAGCTAGATTAATCTTTATTCTGTCATAGATGTTTTGTGCTGCCTGTTGCGAGCAAGCTGAGTCCTGCGGACGGCGGAGAGCTCGGAGCGGCACCGTGCCCAGAGCGGGCTGGGGGCGCCGGAGCCTCTCGTGGGACCGCGCTCCGGAGGCGAACAAAGGGGCCGCCAAACCCATCACCAACAGGTGCTGCACAAGAAACAAACTTTTTCTGGGATACTACTCAGAGTTACCAAAGGGAAGCGATCCCTCAGCCGCTCCGGGGAAGAGGCAAACACCAAAAAATCCCCAGGTCCGCAGAGGGTCGGAGAAGAGCGGGACAAAGCGGCGGGAGCCGGCAGAACGTGGCGTGCTCCGGGCACTGCGGGGAGCGCGGCCGCGCTCCCGCGGCGCCGCCCGGCCGGGCCGGGCACTCCCCCACCTGCGGCCGGCCCTGCCCGCGACCCGCCCCGGGCCCGGTGCGCGGGGGGGGAGCCCGGGGGCGCCCGTTTAACCCCTTCGCCGCCGGCGGCTCCGGAAGCGGCGGCGGCGGCCCCGTGGGGCGCTGTGTCCTGCGCCCGGGCGGGGAGGGGTGGCGGCGCGGGGTGGGGGCGAGCGCGGCGCGGGGGGGCGGCGGCGGGAGCCGCTCCCTCCTTGCCCAGCCCGGCCCGGCAGAGGCGGCAGGAGGAGGAGGAGGAGGGCGGCGCAGAGCGCAGACATGGCGGCCAACATGTACCGAGTGGGAGGTATGTGGGGACGCGGTGGCGCCCGCTCGGAGCCCCCCGCGGGCAGGGCCGAGGGTCCCGCCGGGCCGCGGGCCGTGCGCGCCGCGCCGGGGCCAAGAGCGGCGCCCCGGCCCCTCGGGCTGGCGCGGCCCCGAGCGGGGCGGCCGGGCCCGGGCGGGCGGCGAAAGGAGGCAGCCGGTCCGGCGAAGGGGCGCCGGGCCCTCGGCGGGGCGGAGGACGGAGGTTCCTCCCCCGCCACCCCGTGCGCCGGGTGGGAGCCCGGCCCCCGCCGCCGAGGAGGAGAAGGGCAGCGCCGCCCTCCGCGGTGAAGGGAAGGGGGGAGCGGCGCCGCCGGCTCCCAGCCCCCGCTCCGCGGCGCGGGCCGGGCACGGCCGCCCCGCGCCTCGCCTCCTTCCCCGGAGAGCGGCGGAGGGGCCCCGCGGGGCGAGCCAGGGGCCGGCTGCTCGGCCCTGCGCCCCCGGGCCGGGCCGGCCCCGCCGCGGCCTGGCGGGCCCTGCCGGCGCGGTGCGGTGCGGGGCCGTGAGGGCAGCCCGAGCCCAGCCCGGGGAGCGCTCCCCTCCGCGCCGCTCCCCTGCCCCCGCGCCCGCCCTCCCGCTCACGGCGGAGTTTCTCCGCGCCTTCCTTGGTCTGCCGGGGATAAATAATTAATCCGGCTGTGTAACCGGGGGATTTCTGTCAGCTTCCCTCGCTTGCCGCCGTGACCCCTGAGGAGCGCCCTGATACGTGACTGCTTGCCGAAGGGCGGGGGGGAGAGGGCGTTTAGGCTGTGAAAAACACGGCAAACGTTTGTCTTCCCAGCCCGAGCCTGGGGAAAATGACACGGATAACTTTGGCTCGCTCTCGGAGGGAACGAACGTGGCAGTGTGCCCAGTGCTGTGGCTCAGGTGCACCGCTCAAGTTAGGTGTGCAGTACTGGGTACTCAAAAATCGCTCCATCCTCCTGCTCTCTTAACAGCCTGAGCTGAGAGGAAGGATGCCTGGAAATGAGGGGTGATAATGTCACCCCTCGTTTCCATGCATCTCTTTCTGGTAATGTTTTGAGATGTGCTGATAGAGCCACAAATCTTCCATCTGGATGCTCCTTCATTAGGACACTTAGATAGTAGTCCCATCAGCCTTTACTCATGAAAGTAATCCTTCTCTGAGCAGGTAGCGAGTAGGGTTTACCTCTTAGGTCACCAATTCTCTTTTTTTTCGTTGTAATCTTAATGAGCAATTGTGAACACTACCCAGAGATCGTATTCTTTCATTAGAACTTCCTGAAATTCTTTTTCATTGTATTGTAGTGTCAAAGTGTTGCAGAAGACTTTCATATGTTATTATAGTTTCTCATCCAATTTTTAAAAATAAAGTTTGCAAGGTGCACGGTGAAGAAGCCCAACATCAAATTTAAAATGTGGTTGACATATGATGGGTACTTTTTCATTGGACAAAAACAAGTTTTCAAAAAACTATTGCAGGAAACGTGCTGCTTGTCAATTCTTTGTATGTTGCATGGGAGTAGCTTTCAGGACATGAGTAAATTTCCATTCAATCTGTGAAAATATTTTTATATTAATCATGCTGAAAGAGACATTGTCCTGCAAGATCCTTGCTAATTTCATGGCAATTTCTGCTTAATATAGTTTGCATCTTACTGGATAGAGATAACAAGAGCAAGTATCATAAAACATACATTACTCATTGGAACAACTGTGCTGCCACAGCACCTGATAATAAATATGATGTGTCATCTCTTATAGAAATGTTAATCTCCATAATATAGAAACTCACTAAAGTGCTCAGGTCTTAAATCTTCCTCATTTATTGTGAGAAGTTGCTCCTTCCCTATCAAGATTTATGAAGTGTGTGGATTACTGGATTACAGTGTGAGCTTCAACACAAACCATTTAACTTTTTCCAGCATGGTTGTTAAAGCAGGTGTAGTGCAGTTAAAACTAGAATTTAGGAACAAATTATATTAAATCTCAGCATAGAAGTACATCATGGTCCCAACGTTTATGAAGAAATCTCAGCCCTTTGAAAACTTCTAGGTTTAGAAGAAAAGTTTTGCACTAATAATGATAGGTCTTTACATAACTTTTGGTATTTCAGTGACTTTTCTTTTTTTCCTTGCAGATTATGTTTATTTTGAAAATTCTTCCAGCAATCCATATCTCATTAGGAGAATTGAAGAACTTAACAAGGTACAAATATCTAAGATTCTTTCTTAACCTTTGGCAACAGTCAAAGTGTGCTTGTTAAAACCTGAGAATTATTTCTATCCCTTAAGATTTTTACTGTAGTAGGGGTTTCTGGTGGTTACTGAAAACTTGCTATGTGATGTCCTCTAATTCTGCCCTGTTACCTAAGGAAACAACCAATTCCTGGTGAACAGGATTACTCTGCTGCAAAAATTTTCTAACAAATTCTATGAATTCTTGGAGAAATGAATGAATTTAATTCTTTGGCTGACAGTGACACTGTGAATCCATCTGGAATGACAGCCATCATGTAATGTGTCTGCTTTTAGATAGACATCTGAAGAGCTGGAAGGTGCCAGGGAGACTTTGCAGTGATCAAATGACAGAATATGTGACTTCTGTGGCTGTCTATTGCTCTGCCTATTGGCAGCTGTGAATGAAGAATGGGCTTTTGAACAAAGTGCAGACTCTGTTCTCTGTCTCTATCCTGAGTGTATTTTTCTAAAAAATGGAGGCTCTATTGACTGTCATTTTTGGGGAAGGCATGATTATTTTTCTTCATTCTGCCACAATAATGTGGCATTTCTATGGGATTTTTAAATTATTTTTAATATTTTTGTGTTATTTTTTTTTTACTTTTCCCTCAAGCAGTATTAAAGCTTACTGATGTGTTATATCAAAAGTTAATTGTTAAAATTCCCATGATGATGTAAGTAATGATTAAGATATTTTTTCCCCAGTGGTTAGAAAGTAAATGAAAAAATTGGTGACCTGCAAGTGGTTTTCTTCTTATTAATGAAACACAGCACTATGCCATAGCAGACATCAACCACATTAAATGTTAGTGCTGTCCAACACAACATCCACTGAACTTGTGCATGGCAAATAATTTTTGACTTTTATTGGAGAAGAAAATTTTTTATTCATGGTAATTGACATGATTCCAATCATGTATTGAATGTAATGTTTATTATCTTTAAACTGCACTGCTATAATTTAATCTTGCTCATGCAGGGTAAAACAGAGTCATGTATTGATTTTTTTTTTTTCTTAAAGAGAGGTTGGAGGTTGTAGTCCAGACATCTTGAATGTGAATGGTTTGCTTTCATGTGTTAAAGATATCAAGCAAATGTGGAGATGTTATGTAAATATGTAATGAAATGCTTTGACTATTGTTCTACCAGGGACAATATTTTTTTTGTAAGAAACTTTATCAAAACGTTATACTTTTCCATATTAAATAAGTAACTCAAGGTAAAAAAAAAGGAGGAGTATGCAGTTCTTCAAATATTAGTAAATTCTTTATAGAAGATCATGGTCCCTATAATGAGTCATGAAAACAACACTGAACTAAATAGATCTTTTATTTTAGGATCTGTTGTGACTTTTTCAAATAAACTTTTCAAAAGTCTTTCAAAAAGATTTTTTCAATAAGTGCTATATTAAATGAGATTCTGAAAAAATGCTAGAGTACTTTGAAATATACATTTCTGTCTAAAGCTGGATTATAAAGAAATGTTCACAAGATTCTGACATTTCTGAAGGATTCTTATGTTAGCATGATACTGTCATTGCACCTCTGAACACCTGAACAAAATAGAAATTCTGAGGACTCAATAATTGTAGTTAATCCTCGTGTCTGGTCTGAAATTGGTACTGGCCTCTCTCCAGAAGATTTTATTTATTGGGGTAATTCTGTTGATTTCAGCTTGACTGATCATGTGAGAACTACTGACATGAGGGAGCACTCTGAGCAGAGAGCATTTAATTTGTTTTACTCAGCTGAAGAGGGATGCATCCTGACTTGATTTTCTCTTTCTTTTGTAGACTGCCAATGGGAACGTGGAAGCCAAAGTGGTGTGTTTTTACAGGCGAAGAGATATTTCTAACAGCCTTATAATGCTTGCAGATAAGCATGCTAGTAAGTAGATGGGATAGGGCATTCTTCCTTATTAACACAGCCTGCTCAATTTCTGCAGCTGCTTAAAATTGCAGGTTTTTTGGCATGTGAAATATATATTTATTAAGCATTTATTAATATCCAGTTAGTTGCTTAGTATTGTCTGATAATCTCCTGCTCCTATTAGTTGCTTCTGGGAATTAAGTTAAGCTGTATCCATGTGATTGAGACTGTGCATCTGGAAAAGAAAAAAGTATGTATCATTTCATCTGGAAAATACAGCTGCATTTCTTTTTTTATGTCAAAAGTAATTCTTAGTTGTAAGTTAATTTAAGCTTAAGAGTACTTGTGATTATTTGATGTGACTTTTTTGAGTTAGACATAAACATGTATTGCTTAATGTAAAGAATGAAATTTATCACTGGGGAATGAAAATCACTGGAGATTGTAAAAGAGCTGTTATGTGCATTTATGCTAAATGTAAATATTAGTCAAAAATAGTGGGAGTTGTGTTTTTTTTCTATTTTGTTTCTTTTTTTTTTTTTTTCTCAGAAAAACAACAAGTGGTAATAGGTGAAAAAAGCTGCATTTTTCAACATGAACCTAAACTTTTCTTGGTATCTGCCATTTGGTATACAAGTGAAATATCATAATGTTCCATAATTTTTTGATGAGAAATATAATTCTGAAGAGAAAAAATGCAATTCTGAAAATATAATTCAGAACCTAAAAATCTGAGATGAAGACAGTAATTTGCAAAATACTCCAGTCATATTTGTAAATAACTGAAATGTGGAGTGTGTCAACATCCTTTAAATTTCTTGCCATATGCTATTAAATACCATTTTGATTGTATATGATGCTTGAGTTTTCAAAATGATCTGTGAATAAGTTACGTAGGGGTTATAAATACCAACTTTTTTATAAAATAAAGTAGAGATTATCTAATGTCTTTCAAGAGATTCTCTTGAAAGGCGTTAGATAATGCCAACTTTTTTTTGCAGATATATCTTGGTGTAATTAGGTGTTTTAAAAATACCCTACAATTTGTTTAATGTCCAGCTCTGGTAATTTTGCTCATCCAGGTATGGTGAGTAAAGAGAAACAGCAAACCTTTGGATTTTGTTTTATTCTTTTATTGATCTTAGAGAAGTGGGGGTGATTTGAGTACATAGTATGAAGTACTAGCTTGATTTTTATAGGAAGACAATCCATCTTGCTTATGTACTAAGAAAATGATTTAATGTGTTGTTACATGGTTGGGTACACTCTATAGTTATTTGTGACCTATTTATGATCATGATCACCAGCCCCCACAATCATTAGTCTTTTTAGTTCTTCCAGATAAAATGTGTTGAAACACAGAACTTTAGGTGAGCTTCACTAAACTTTGTAGCACTTTTTTTTGATTCTCTTTTCTAGTGGAGGGCACAAGAAAGTAAGAAAATGATAACAACTTTACTGGAAATACTTCTTTTGTTTTCTAAAATTTGATTTTTAAAACAGGAAGCTTGTAAATTTTTTTTTAGTTGGCTTATCTTTTAGAAAAGGGTATGTTAGTCCTGTGGGTATCATTCAATCTGGAAAAGTGAGTAAAATTTTTCTATTTCCTTTTTGAGTTTTAGATTCCCATTTTGTCAGCACTTTGATAGAAAGGATTTGTTGATGGTCTGTTGCTTTTCTCCTATAGCATACTAAGGTTTGTTGGTGTCACTAGGAGTGCCATGGAGTCTTCCATCTTTTTTTCTCTATTGGGATTCTCTTGTGGTTCTGTAGTGAGGAAACAGAAATGTGATTTCCAGCTGGTTCAACAAACATCTTTAGAATGCCTGTGTCCACCAGGTTATGAGCCTTCTAACCCAGTGCTCTCAGGAATTATGTTTCTCTATGAACATTTTCTCTGGACACAATGTCTCTGTTTGTTCTGACCAATCTGTGGAATCTGTAGTGCCAAATTCTCTTAGGAGATGTTTGTTACAGTCACAGGGGACAGCACATAGCAAAGGATTGCTCACCTAGAGCTTCCTATAGCTCATAGAGCAGATGTAGTTAAATGTCAATTCAATTTAAAGGCTTTCATTCTGGGATAACACAATGTTCTGTTGAAAAATATGGTATGTGTAAACAAAATATTTGTATATTTATGAATTGTATGTTTTGGAAATGTTTTATGTAGCTAAACATGTTGACATATCAACACTTCTACCTGGTTTGGTATAAAATAAATGTTAAAAGATACAAGTTTCTTAAGGAATAGAAACTCCAGTTCAGCCACTGATTTCTCCTCTGTGCCTGTTTGGAGAACTCTTTTAAGTATAAGATCTGCTTGGTCTCTTCCAATGATATTTTGTATTGCTAGCATTTTTTTTTCTTTACGATTGAGAAAACTGGTCTGAGTTATTAATTTCTCAAGATTTTGGCAGTTGGTTGGGGGTTTTTTGAGATGTCAATTTCTGAAGGTTACATTTTGAGATGTAGATATGGTCCCATTTACTAAAAGAAGAAAAGAGCTCTGTAAAAAATATTTTGGAACTTTAAAAAGAAAATTTCAGCAACTTGAAAAAGTTTCAGAATTATTCTAAAGAATGTTTGGGAAACATGAAATAAAGTTGACCTGTGCCTTTATCACTGGTAAGGAGTTGGTATATTGTTTTCCTAGGGTGTTTTTTGTTGTTGCTGTTGGGTTTGTTTTTTGTTTGTTGTTGGTTGTTTGTTTGGGTTTTTAAATTTGGTTGGGATTTTTTTGTTTGTTTCCTTTTGTTTTAAGTTGTCTTCCAAAATGTTTCAAGATATTGAAACAAATTGAGGGAGGGGAAATCAAATTTTCATTAGGCTATTCTAAAATACTCGGGTACGGAGTAGTTCTCTTGTTTTCAAAGAATGTCACTAATCTGTGAGGAAATTGTATTGCCTTCTTTCTTTCCCTGGTGTTTCAGGTGGAATTTAATTAAGGAAATTTTTATTTGTCTACCAGCATCATGTATGGCATCAGCTTCGATCTGGGAATAGTTCTAGAAGCTGACTGCAGCCACTTAAATCCAGGGATTTGGAATGTTTTATGGGCACTTGAGGACTTTGTATTTTTTCACTGTTGATTTATGTTACTATAAAATAGAGTTTATGGTAAGGTCAGCTGGAAATACAAACCAAAATACTGTCCAGGATCATCTTCTTGGTCCTGTGCAGCCTCCTGAGCATAGTAAGGGAGTTCTTTTGGGGCGTTAACACTCTCCAGGTTGTTGTTGTTGTTGGTGTTAACTCTCTTAGGTTGTAGTCATCAGCACAGGGTCCCTGTGAGGGGGCTGTTCCTTTCTTGGCATGAAAGAATTGCCCAGCAGCAGAGTAAGGCTTACTGTTGAGGGAAAAGAAGGCAGAGAGATGAGGAGAGGATGGCAGGCAGGACAAGAGACAGATATTGCAACAGACACCCGAGTGCGTAAGCGAGTGAGCTTGGAGAGGTGGGACTGGAACACTCAGCTCATTAAAATGGGTGAAGCAAACATAAAGGGGTGACATAGAGATGTTTCCTAACTCAATGGTGTGATTGAGAAATGGCCAGCTGTAGCTGAATCTATAAAATGTAGATGATTCTTTATCTTCAGTAGAATTAATGTAAGTATTTTCGGTCAAGATTTTAATAGCTGTGGAGAGGAGTCTGTGTCAGCTTTGTACCAGCCCTGGGTTTGGGTTACAGCAAGGGGCTCAAGTTCTTATTTCCTTCTTTTGCAATAGATTGCAAAGAATCATAGAATATCCTGTATCACAAGGGACACATGAAGATAACTGGGTCCAGCTCCTGGCCCTGCACAGGGACCATTCCACGAACCATACCATTTTTGAGGTTTATTCACTACTACTTTCTTGAAGCTGAGTAGGGTGACCTGAGTGCATGATGGCATTTTTTGCAGATCTTTGCACTTTAAATTCTTTATCTGATCATGTGTTATCATGTAATACTGTGTCTGAAGTCATTCTCTTGTTGCAACTCCTCAGCCAGCTTTTGCCAAGTCAACCATCTGGTGAGGATATAAAAAAAATTACTGTTGTTGGAGTCCTTCGTCTTCTGATTTATTAAAGAGGGTTTGTTTCATTTAGGTGTGCTGAGATGCTGACTAAATGCCAAGAATATTTCTGGGCCTGTGATAAAGCCCATGCAGAATGTATTTTTTCTCATTAACAGAATTCATATTCTTTGTGAATGAAACAGTACTCAATTAAAAAAAACTACTCAGAGATATTTGTTTCATATGATGTTGACTGAAATGAAAAGTAAAATGAAATTTTTCTAGATTACGGAAGCTGACAAAAAATCATGTTCAATCTCAGCTGTTCTTTTTAGAGATCACTTACTGGCATTACTTGTTGCACATTTTAAAAACTTTTATTCTTTTGCTCTTGATCAGTCATGTTTCATGTCACATTGATTTGTAAAATGGTGTTTCTGGTACAGAATTTTTGTATATGATAGATATCTAGGAGGAGAAGAGTCCTGCTTGGGACTCCTGGTTAGACAATTATTAGGGTTAGAAAACACCTCCAAGATCCAGTGTTTGACTGAACACTGCCATGCCCACTGAACTTTATCATCAGATGTTGGAGCCTGTACTCAGTTCTTGCCTTTGTATGACTTTGATGTGTTGCAATCAGAAACAAATCCAGTGTTCTCTCTGTACTTCAGTTTTTTTTGCCTGTAAAGCAATGCTCCTGTTAGAAGTTCTTATAAAAGTTGGTGAAAAATATTTAATATGCCAATATGTTTTTATAGTTGCCGTTAAAAGATCTCAAAGTGCCTTACAAATACTCGTAGTTTATTTTTTATATAATATCAAGAATGTTCCAGCATTCCTGGAAATGGCTTGATCTTGCAGAGCAGTTTAGCTGCTGCTGAGCCTTCTTACCTTCACTTAAAGGTGATTTATATTTGAGGGGAGGAATATTTTGCATATTGTCTATGTTAACTGCCAGCATTCCAGATGCATCCGAGAGAATGAAGCTGTTAACATTCCATCTGATTTTATTTC